ACAAAGAATACGCAAACTACTCTGTATTATTTTTAAAGTCTCAAAATACAATTATAAATTCTGGAAATTTTTTCGTGTTTGATTAGAAGTCACCGGGGCCCTCAAAAATATAATTTCATGTTTATTTTAATGTGTTGTAACTTTTCTATTTGTACTCCAATTGTTACAAAAAATATACTCCCTCTGTCCCTGAAAGACGTTCCATTTTACTATTCACTGGTCAACTTAAATCACTCTTAATCTCTTACTTTTTATATCAAAATTTTATAAAAGTTGAATTATTTTTTGCAGGCTTTGTAGCGGGTTTAATGTAGTTTCTGAATATGTAAATTTTATTTACTAAAAATAATCCGAGTTTTCACAGGGATCATTTAACTTTATCGTCGGTCAACCTCGTAATCCGCAAATGGAACAACAATAAGGAGGCGTTTAGTTCACCGGTTATTAAACGGTGCTTATTAAGACCCGTGTTAATAAGCGGTGCATAAAATAAACAATGTTGTAAGACTGTGTTTACTTCAAACGGTTTAAAACACCGCTTAACATTAAAATGTCCAAAATAACCCTATACATATATACACACACAAACATTCATGAACACAAGTATATAATATAAATGTGTACCCATACCCCCTAACCCCTTACCCACCCTACCTTACTCTGACCCCACCTACCCTACCTACCCGACCCTACCCCTACCCGATCCCACCCTACCGCGACCCTACCCCCAACCCCATAGGCCCCTACCCCCATACCCCCTTACCGCATCGACCCCACCCTGACCCCACCTTACCCTACCTTACCCCAACCCCGCCCCTACCCCTACCCTACCTTACCCCGATTACCACTACCCTACCCTACCCAATCCCACCCTACCCCTACCCTACCCGACCCCACTCTGCTGCAACCCTACCCCCGACCCCACCGCACCTACTCTGCCCCTAGCGCCTCTATCACATTGGCCCCACCCCGACCCCACCACCCTAGGTATAGGGTGGGGGTAAAGGGTGGGGTCGGGGTATATGGTGGGATGGGGTAGGTGGGGTTACTGCGGTCAGGTAGTGGTAGGGTGGGTCGGGTAGGTAAGGTAGGGGTGGGGTTGGGTAGGTGGGGTAGTGGTAGGGTGGGTTCGGGTAGGTAGGGTGGGGTTCAGGCGGGGTATGGGGTAGGGTCAGGGTAGGGGTAGGGTGAGGTCGGATAGGGTAGGGGTAGGGTGGGGTTGGGTAGGTGGGTAAGGGGTGGGGTAGGTTTGTGGTCTGGTAGGTAGGGTAGGGGTGGGGTCTGGTAGGTAGGGTAGTGGTAGGGTGGGGTCGGGTAGGGGTAGGATGGGGTAGGGTAGCGGTAAGGTGGGGTCAGGTAGGTGGGGGTCGGTTAGGTAGGGTAGGGGTGGGGTAGGTAAGGTAGGGGGTAGGGGTGGGGTAAGTGTAAGGGTAGGGTGGGGTCGGGATAGAAGGTGTAGGGTAGGGGTGGGGTAGGTGGGGTCGGTAGGTAGGTGGGTCAGGGGTAACAATAGGGTAAGGGCAAGGGGTAAATTCGGAAACTGAAAAAGCTTAAAGTGCCGCTTAATTAATACATGGGGGTGTGGTAGGCTTAGTAAGCGGCACTTTAAGCACCTATTTCGGTTAGTAAGCGGCTTTTTAAGCAGCGTGCGTGTTTACTTCACCTGTCTTACTAACCTAACTGTGACTTTAGCAGCGAAGTAAACGCCTCCTAAGGGACGGAGGGAGTATCAAAATTCATCATTTTTTATTATCTTTCATATTACTCCAATATTGAATATATAAAAATAAAAACAATTTAACACTAAAAAATCCGTTTTTCCAAGTTTTGTTGCATTTTATTTTTATATATTCAATATTGATGTCATATGAAAGATAATAAAAAGTTATAAATTATGACATATTTTTTGTAACAATTAGAATACAAATAAAAAGGATATAACACTTTAAAATAAATAGGAGATTTTATTTTTTGAATTACGTAACTTTATAAATTAAACATTGGTATTACGTATTACGTAGGATTCCAACCTACTCCGTATAACTTTGTTCTAAATTAGCATAAGATCAGTTAGAATGTAACTTGAATACATGTGACGAAGTATTATTAATATACTAATTTGGAAAGATAGCCTAGAATATTATAATGAATGTTTGCTTAGAAGATGACACATGGCAAAAACTTTCCCTAATTGTAACCTTGAATTGTATTATATATAGATAGATATAGATATAGATTACGGAGAATTACTTTTTAGGCAGTGCCCCTAGCTTCATAACTTCATTACAAGACTATTCATCTTCTTTATTCTTCACGAATTATGCACCCCTGATTTGCCAGGTTACATCAGCAATTCGTCTAAATAATACAATTCGTATAAATAAAGACATAACACATTTTCACATATCTGCATCCCCCCTGATTTGCCAGGTTACATCAGCAATTCGTCTAAATAATGCAATTCGTATAGATAAAGACAACACATTTTCACATATATGCACACCCCACTGATTTGCCAGCAGGTTGCATCAGCAATTCGTCTAAATAATGCAATTCGTATAGATAAAGACATAACACATTTTCACATATCTGCACCCCCCCTGATTTGCCAGGTTACATCAGCAATTCGTCTAAATAATGCAATTCGTATAGATGTAATGTCACCATATTATTTAGTAAGTATAAAAATTTATACCTTTAATTAACATATATAGACCTTTGATTTGAAAATTGTTGGGTTAATGGCCCAAGTGAAAGGCCGGCCCATTTACCCCCTCATTCGGACGAACGTCCGGGCAGGCTATTGATGGGTCAAACTAGCAGGCAAATGCAGTAGCGACGAACGGCTGATCCAACGCCTTGCTTGCAAGCCCAACCCGACGAGCGTCCATACATACAATGGTGGATCAGGCCCACAGGCAAATGTGGTGGCGACGAACGTCGCCAACTCAAACCACAACCACTTGATGCCAATGCCGGGATACGAACGACCCACTACCCCTTGCAGCATCACCAGGAGCAGGCCCCCATCCCAGCTGGACGTCCGTCCCCACGGGTTAGGCGGGAAATCTAGATTCTGGAGGGAAACACATTTAATGCTGGAGATTTGGTGGTTGAGACACCAGCCACACACAGCCCTCCACGTCAGCATAGGCAACTGCCCATTGGTGGTATAAATAGCAGTATTTATTTCATTGTAAGAGGTTGGCAACTTACTATTCTTAGCACTCTAGCTTATATTTCTCTTACTCGCAGCTCTTCTACTGCCTTGTAAGACGAACAGCCGACGAGCCTTAGCAAGCGTATTGTATTGGGGAGTTATTAACTGATTAATAATACCTGATCTCTTACTTGCTAATTATCATCTCTTAATTTATCTTACTTGTTTGTTGGGCTAGTTATTTCACACAAATACTCCACACCACTCGAAACCTTTGGGCTGACGTGTTGGACTCAAAGGTTGAAGGAATAAACCTCAACAAAAATGAAAAAAATCTTTGTCAAAAAATTACTTGAATGAAGGATTTTAATAAGGGAAAATTTTCGAATATGAGTAAATAAGTTTGAGAATCCAAAATAAGATTGTCATGTTTTTTATTGCCAAAATAGGCGTAATTAATGTCAAACTTGAAAAATATTGTCATGCTTAAGGTCTAATTTTGGAATACATAAAACTTTTTTGTCCTATTTAGTGTAATTTCCCTTTTAACAAGGATTAATGCTAGACAGAAGGTACAAAGAAGTGTTTCATAAAATTTGTCATGGAATGTAATTTGTTTTCAAATGATGTTTATATTGCGTGTTACTTACTATTTTGAGGGCTATAAAAAATAATGTACTACTCTGTAATCATTAGTAAATTGTATATTATATGTTTCATTTACGTCAAGTTTTATTATTGTATGGAGTATAATTCTAAACAATTCAATTAAAATTACAAGTTTATTTATTTTTTAATTAAAATGTTGGCTAATATTAATTATACCCGCGAAATTTCACCAATCGTGCATCACACGGGTATTGATGAAGAAGAAGGAACCACTGAACAAGACTCATAATGTTGTATTCAAAAAGTGTTCAACAATGTTTAGGGTTACATGAAATGTATATTTACAATGTTATGGTTTCTAAGTATTTGTTGGATGTTTTTGATCTTTTAAGTAATGCTTAGTGCTCTCTTTTTAACTATAATATATATTATAAGTGTGTTTTGTTTATTATTTGAAGTTGAATCAATATTCCATGGACATAGATGCTCTCATCAATTGATAGTGTAATTTGAATTAGTGAGCATAAACAAATTTAAAGGAATATTCTCAGACCGTGCATCGCACGGGTGAGTTTACTAGTTGATATATCGTTTTAAGATAAGTACTATTACGACTGACTATTCAATGAAGTTTTTACGCTCAATTGGTTTAGAAATTTTTGTGCTCAATTGCAGAGTTTCAATGTTCAATAGATTAAAATTGATGCCGAATAGAGGAGTCTTTTATAGATATAATTTATATAGAAGAAAAAAAAGAAAATAAAGTGAATCAGAAGTTATGAAGCAGAATTCACGAAGTTCAACAATACTCAACAGAATATGTTGGATGCTCATTAAAAGTGTATTAATGCTCATTTAACAGAAATTGTGATTTTTATTACAATAAAGGAAGTTTGATGCTCAATGAAAATCATTATGTTAAACTAACAAATCTTACAATTTTCATATCAATGCATATTTTAAAAATATTATATTACATTAAATTCGCAAATTGAAATTCATACGAGTGTATTATAGATATAAATTAATAAGTTTTTATAAAAAAAATTGACTACAATTTTCATATCAATGCATATTTTAAAAATATTATATTACATTAAATTCGCAAATTGAAATTCATACGAGTGTATTATAGATATAAATTAATAAGTTTTTATAAAAAAAAATTGACTTAAAAGATATGAAGGAGAAATCATGATATTTATTGTTAGGCTAAAAGGTTTGAACTAACTAAAAGTGTTCAGGCTTTGGTCTGTTATTGTATCGCACAAGTCAGACGGATAGGGCTTCTCTTTGGTGAAGGCTTTGGGTTTCCGATTTTAGGTGTGCTCCGGCTTTGGGTTCGTTCGTTTGAGGCAGGGCTCTGCCTTTGCTTGTGTTCGCACAGCTTCTTCGGATTAGGCGGAAGCAGGTGCGTTTCGTTTTTTTGGTTTAACGAACTATAGGAATCTAATATTGTTGATGCTTCCATCTTAACTGGATTTGTAAGGTCTTACGTTGTTCTAAGTTTCTGTCCATTTGTGTGGGCGGGTATGCCCTGCAACAAACAAGCTTAACCCATGTCCATACCCTAGCTTAACCCATGTATCACAACTTTATACATATGTGGGACGTTTATGATATCAACCAAGTCTGCTTTGGGCGATGTAATGATTCCACCCCATAAACAACGTCTATGATAGTGTATAATGTGTATTTTTCACAGTAGTTCTATTGCTTTATGAGCATATATTTTATATAGTATATTATTTTGTTGTTTCTTCTGATACAACAATAAATTTTATGGAGCTCTGATTTGTGACAATGATACGGATTAACCAAGTTTTCATTGAGCTTTGTATGCATGAAGGTCTAATGTTTCTTTGATTTATAGGTATGTCTTTTTTGTTATACTGTGTTTTACATTTTTATTTCCATATTCTAACATTAATTTATATATGTTGAGTTTGAAACTTTAACATCATATTTATATATCTTATGAATGATTTCAATAAGTACAAGTTGCATGCCGTGCAACGCACGGGTGAAAATTCTAGTGGATGAGTAAAAATTGCTTACTTGGTTACTTACATAAAAGAATAGCACCCTAGTTTTAGTCCAGAGAGGATGGGTGCAAAGTGCAAACCTTCTCAAGACTGTAGTGAATTACTCCAATTTATTCAATGTAGTAGTTTCTAAAGTCTTGACGGATCACTATTTGAGTAACTCTACTTCTATCGGTAGTTCTATTATTTGGAATTTCACTAAAATAGAGTTTTTGTGTTAACGGGAAACTACTTCTATCCTAACAGTAGATAGAAGCTAATAGCCTAATACTACTGAAACGGGCCTAAATGCCATTTTTATAAAGAAGGCCAAATCAGTGGATTCTTTAACAAGCTCTTGCTAAATCCAGGTTCGAAGGAAGAAATACACAACGACTGGTTAACGTTGTATTGCTTTGCATCATTGCAACTTGACAATTAACTTAATACATAATGGGGAATATCCAAGCATCACTCATCCGTCAGCCTCCGCCTCCGCCTCTGCCCTCTCAACACTCTCGCTCATTGATTGCTGCCAGTGAGGAGGATGAAGAAGCTGTAGAGGTATCACATTATACAATTATACAGTACAGACATCGTTTCTTATTTTTGACAACTTTTCTTTTTTGATTGGCTAAAAAGTTTCGCCACTTCCCTTTAGTAATTAATTAGTGATTCTTTTAATTTCTTTCTTCTCCACACAATCTTCAATCATACATTTTATCCATTATACTACATGGTTTTCTAATTTGGTAAAATTATAAGAAACAAAGGTAGTATGTCTTTGCTTATGCTCATCTCGCCATTAGGCGTAGAGTTATTCTTTGCCTACATGCCAATTTATACACACTTTGTACACATCCGTATATTTTGTTCGTGTCAAACTCTTGTGATACGGACAAAATACAGGGGACATGTATAAAAATGTACAAATGAGCATGTACGATTGTAATCACGTAGTCTTGGTTTAAAAAAGCGCATCTCAAGCACGCAAAGGCGCAAGGCGCACTTGGGCGATGTATTTATCGCATCATACACCCTAGGCGGCGTAGGTTCCAGGAGGCGCGCTTTAATCCGCCCTTTTTGACGCCATTTGCATGTCCGAGAGGCGCGCGCTTCTCAAGCATCATCGGTGGGACTTGGGAGTGTTTGATGGAGTTGCTTCAGTCTTTTGGCGATTCCAACTCCAAGTCTCTCTAGTCTTCTTTCTTCTTCCTTGCCTTCTGCTTTGGGGTTTCTTCCGTTGCTTCTTGCGTAGCAGTTCCGACCCTGTCTTTAGCTGCTATCTTGCATCGCAGGTAAGTATTTACTTTTTTTTCTTCTGCTATTTATTCTCTTTTATTTTATTTTAAATTTTTAAATTTATAAAATTATTTAAATTATTTAAATACTACTGATTAATAAAACAAAAATAAAGAGCCGATTAGCCAAACCAGCCTGCTACAGAAATCTATTCATGTGATAGTTTAATAATAAAATATGTATTATTTTATAACTTGTCACATAATGATAATATAAGACTATACGGAGTATATTATAGTGTTATAACACTAATTCACTAACTATGTATTAAGACAATTTTTATTATTAACATTTTTATTAACAATTTTTTATACAACAGTTTATTACATTAATTATTTTAATTACTATTACCACATTTTCAAAAAATTATTATTCACAATTTATGTAATAATTACTGTTAACAGATATAACAATTTATTAAAACCCGACTATTAATTATTTCATATATTGCTAGTGCGTTATTGGATTAGTAAGACTGAAGTTTTATGATTGAGTTTTGTGACTTGACTTTTGGCAATTATGCCCCTTAATATATACCTAATAGAAATAACATTATCGCCCCTGTTACTTCCGCCTTCGATAGCCTTCGATAGCCTTTCATAGATTTTGAGAACGTGTGAACGCTGCTCATCATTCTTCCTACGAGATATCAAGGTTTTCTCTAATTCATACTTTGGATTGTAGTTGTAAATTTCATCGATTAATTGGGGATATACTTTATGTGATTGGGATTTTGGGATCATATGACTTTTAGTTGATGAACAAATCTCTGTCAACTATTAGCCAAGGAAAAGATGCTCTAGCTAATGTTTAGGGCCTTCACACTTTTCGCTTCTCAATAGTTGGGAACAAGAATTTTTTAATAAAGATAAAATACACATATTGACATCATTGGCGAATGTGCTGACTCCCCTTATGATTCACAAGCTGGATGAGGAGTGTCTATTCATCGGAATGTAGAACTAATGGAATACATGGTACATGCCAACCTTTCCATGAAAACTTGAAAAGACTAAAAGAGGAAATAACAACACCAACAATAATGATGATTATAATAAATAACCATAATAATAACCACAATAATAAGAATAATAAAACTAAATCTATTTAGAATTGATCACAATGTTTCAGATTTGATCTGAATATTTCTGATCTAAATGTTTCAAATCCGATCTAATTTGAATCTTTCTGATGTGATCTATTATGATGGAAATGTCTATGATCTAATATGAATCTTTTTGAGTTGAGTTGACCTAAATAATATAAGAATAAGCAATGAGCAATCTCTCACACAATCTTTTCAACATTTTCAACATGCTTAGCAAATATTTTCACATCCTTTTTGTAATCATTGAAAATTAAAATGTGAAGAACTAAAAGTAAATAATTAGATTCTTGGAGAAAGACACCCCATGCTCAAATTTAGCATACCTTTTCAGTTGAGTATATGCTGAAGTTAAGCATTTGAGCCTACCTTGACCCCATGCTTGGTATGTTGGAATTGAGAGTGAGTTTGGGAATTTGGGTGGGTTCTATTTGCAACGAAAAGGAGATGAAGGAGAAAAACTCAATGCTAAGCAATACCAAGTATAAATTTAGTGTAACAATCATTAATTGGTTACCCTAAACGGCTAAACCATATCTAATCCTCTTAATAATAAAAAGCAGGCCCTCCAAATCAATATGTGATGCTTGGAAGGAAGAGATAAAGAAGTGTTATAAATTATAATATGTTGTGATATATCTTTTGAAGGAAAAAATAGATCAAGTTGCCTTTCATTTTGAAACACTTTTAATACGCAGATTGCAGGAGGAACTTATTATTTGACGAGGTGGAGAATGAGAATCTCAAAAAGTTTTATTTCTCTTCATGATGACTTGCTATTTGAAGTTCTTACACGTGTCCCGGCTCAAGATATTTATGATGCGGCGATGTATGTTTGTAGGAAGTGGTACCGCATAATTCATACCCACAAGTTCATAAATGCACATCTTCGGCATTCAACTCATGGTCTTTTGTTTCATTGTCCCCTTACACCTACACTTTTTATGGTGGCTAGGCAAGGTCAATTGGAGATATCTTATTTAACTAAATTAAAACATCGTAGTTCAGCTAGCTGTAATGGTTTGCTTTTGGAGATCGTAAACAACCAGGATTCATGGACTCCCTATATATTAAACCCTATAACAAAGCAAATTTTTGTGCTCCCTAAAATTAAGACAGCAATCACTTTAGAATATTTTGCTATCTCTTATGTTGCAACTTCCATGGTGTATAAAGTGGTCGCAGTTGTTGGTTCTACGCTAAAAATATTAACGGTGGGGGTGGATAATTCCTGGAGGACCGTTTGTATCAAACACTGTCCTCTTGAGGCATTTACCAAGATCCCCCGTACAACCGAAGGTTTTGTGCATTGGGTGACCAGGACTACAGTTTTGACTTTAAATGTAGAGACTGAAATGGTTGAGGAGAGCAGTGAGCCGATCCCTCAACTTGGTGCACTTCTTGGGAGTATCTTGGTGTCGACAGGAAGCAAGTTGTCTTTCTTGATAAAGTTTGAGAGATTTGGGTGGCATGTTTGGGAGATGGAACCAGAAAGCAAAGAGTGGAGAAAGCTGCATATTGTTATTTGCTTGAAAGATCATAAGAGGAAATTCCAACGATGGGGTTTAGAAAAGGGGAAAGAGGTCTATCCGATTGGCTGGATAAAATACAAAGAGCTATTGGTCTTGATTCCGAGTGGCGTAAAATCCATGGAAGTGGCATCCACTATTTTTGTGTACAACCTTGTTACACACGAAGTTGTCAAAAAGGATCTGCCTGACTACGTTGCAGCATACTCACTTATACGCCACCAGAATAGCTTGGTATGGTTGCCTGGATCCTCCTAATACTCTTCTACTATGTAGAGTGAATGTTGTTCCATCCCCACACAAACTTTTTTTTTATTAGGTTGAACATCAGGTATGCATTGGAAACGTGAAGTTCATTTACTTTTAATATCTAAGATACAGTTTACCTTTTAACTTGCGACTCAAGAAGATTTTGTACACTTTGTATTCAACTATTGTGCCATGTTTTAACAAAAACTTTATTTCATGATTTACACCCCTTAAAAATATTTGTCATTTTTTTTACCCCAGGGGGTCCGGGGAGGGGGCCTGGGGTCAGGGGCTGATCCAGAAAGTTTTGTTATGTATGCATGATAATTTTTAATGATTTACTTTGAACATCTCGTAATTAGAAACTAATTGAGCTAAATTAAAAGTATACTAAATTTAATTATGTGCAACATCATATTTCTGCCCAAATGTTATATATACACATATATAATGTACACAATGTCTGTGTTTCAAATATCTGAATAGATGGGGAGATTTCAAGTAGTTGCAAGAATATTATGGAATATATGGAGTATATTTTAGTTTTCAATTTGAGCTAAAAAACTTCAAGCAGACTGTACAAAAATGAAATAGGTGAAATGGTTGATTCAAATTCCCACTTGAAAGTTTAAAAATATCCATGTTAATTCGGATGAAAATATCAATTTTGAATGGGTTGAAAATGAAAGTTAATGCAATAGTAGGATAGAGGGTAAGTCGTGTGGATACAGAGGTAGAGTGAGGGCTGCTCCCTAATTATTGCTTGAAACTTCATGATTTGGCTATCTTTGTTAATACGTGTTTTTCTTCTACGTGGTATGAAATAATGACAAATATAATACTCCATCCGTCCCATTTTGGATGTCCTACTTTCCTTTTTTGGTTGTCTCAAAATGAATGTCTTGTTTTTTTTAGCAAGAAATATGTGGTTCTTATCATTTCACTTTATTCTACTCAAATCTCAACCACAATTTTTACTTTTCAACCACTTTATTAATAAGCGTGCCAAATTGAAAGTGAACAACCAATATGGGATCGAGATAGTACTAAAATAGGGGTAGTCGATAAAAATATGACTTTTTTTGTTTTTGAAAATGACAAAAATATGACTTAGTGACGACTAAAGTATTGTAATTGTGTGTAGTAATTATAGTAATATTTTATTCGCTACTTATATTTCAGTAGTATTTATGGAAAAACATCTCCTTGTGAACGGACATACTGAATTTAAAATGAACAGGGTATTTTACTTGTATGTTGCCAAACCTCCTTTGGAAAACAAACCTCCGAGTGCTCCATCTCGCAGTATGCCTCCGCGTACGCCCCGTCAACGAATTGATTGATGACAGCAGACTTCTGTGAACCGATGGCCGATTTCGGTGACCCGGCGCGCCTGGGGGGTTTCGCCACGAAATATCCGGCACCTTGGGGTGTCGGGGTTTCGGCCACATTAGTACCATTGAGAAGAGTTTGGGATGCCGTTTCTCTAATGGTAATGGCTAAAGCGGTGATGATGATGGAGATGGGAAGTTGGGAACTATGAAGTGATGATTACAAAACTCCATTTGGATCGATCTGATCTCTTGAGAGTGATGATTAGATGAATGTGATAGTGGAAATGCTGCTTCAGTTTGATGTGAGTAATGGAGCAAATGATACGTAGTATACATACAGGTAGCGGCCGGATAGTAGAGGAGCGATGGAGCTGAGTGCGGCGTGGACTTGATAGCAGCCTCCCGATTCGCTTGGCATTTATATATATCCAATTATCAATTGAAACGGTAAAAGTTGTTGCCTATATTCATTCATTTATTCAAGGGAAAAGGTGCAAATAGACCATGTACTAATAAAAAAAGGTCAAATAAGCTCTTATTTAGGGAGTTCTGTCTGACCGTCATCATTTGAGGTGGTTCCCGGTGGAATTTTTTGATGAAATTTTTTGAACATCTTATTCATCAAGTCTAGTTTGCTCATACCAAATTTCAGCTAAAACTTCAATCGGGAAGGCATTCAAATGAATTCTTGAAGATAACTGCGCTTCTAACTGCGCAGTTATTTTCAAGAATTCATTTGAATGCCTTCCCGATTGAAGTTTTAGCTGAAATTTGGTATGAGGAAACTAGACTTAATGAATAAGATGCTCAAAAAATTTCATCAAAAAACGCCACCGGGAACCACTCCAAATGGCGACGGCCGGACAAAGCCTCCTAAATTAGGCTTATTTGACCTTTTTTGGTTAGTACATGGGGCTATTTGCACCTTTTCCCTTTATTCAAATATATCACCCACTTTGTCGGGTGGTTTCTAATACTCCGTAGATAAGATCGCTTGGTTCTTTTCTTTCATTATTGTTTGGAAAATTTTATGGTGCCTACCTAAAACTGTATGTACCCGTACAAACTTCGGGTATGTCAATATATGATTCTCCATCGTCATTTTAACCCAGAACCCCGTCCCCTATCTTCAATATACAATCAATGAATCTCTGTATGTATGCAGAATTAAGATCATCTGATCCACTTCGCACTCTCATGTTCTTCGTCAGCCTTAGCACATTGCAAAATGGCCAAATGAAGGATGAGTTTAAAGTTGCCTATACTTTATCTTGCCTGCTACCCTTTGAAATAACTGGTAAAATCTGTCTAAAGTCTTCGCCAAAGACAACTGTCTTTCCACCAAAAGGTCTCATTCCATCACAACCGTATGAATGTTGAAGAATATCACGCATAGTCCGATCAAGAGCTTCATAGCAGTACTTATTGGTCATGGTGCCTCGTCCCAAATTATCAATTTTGTCATTTGAATTAGCTTCGCAAGCGCATTTCCTGGTTTTATGTTGCAAGTTGAATCTTATGCTGCTGTGAGTGAGATTTTAAACCTGAAATTTACAATTCATTGTCTTAGTATTTATTTGGAAATATATGTTTTAAAAACTAAAAAAAACTGACCTGGAATGTGTCGTTCTTCCACTTGGAACAATGATGTGATCGCACTTGAAGTTACGTTCAACACAATATTTCCTTGATGCCTTACATATGCTGATAAGGTCTTCCACAAATATGTTTTCCCTGTACCACTGTGCCCGTACAAATATGTGTACTCACTATTGTCTCGTAAACACGCTTTTGATCCTCCATCACGGTGAAAATAAATTTAGCATCTTCCTCCGCCAAAGCATTCCTGTCATATCTCAATTCCTCGTGTATCAAAATATCATGAAGAGAAGGAATTTCAAGATCCGTTACTCGAGGCATTCCGTCATAGTAGAATAGAGACTTTCCACGATGTTGTAAAAGTTTTTCAATTTCCAGCAAACAATAATTCTTTATTTGCTTCTCATCCAGCTGCAGTTTTGTTAAAAAAATGGCCCATTTCAAATTTTAATATTAATAAATTTAAGATGTAATCAGAATATTTTTAAAATATTTATATGGTAATAGAATTGAATTTATTTGTATTATAAACAATCAACACATTTGTAAATGTGATGTTGTAATTAAGAAACAAATTATCAAACCAACTACTATCTTAAATAATAGTTTATTAAATTATATATAATGAACTATTTATGAACACTTGTTAACAGAAGTCCTTAATATTTTAAAATTATCTATGATGTATATAAGAGTAAATTTTAATATGCAATTTATTACGATAAAAAGTCTCAAATATTTGATATTAGCGAATAATGATCTTTCAATATAATATATATGAAAAGATAATTTGCAAATTCAAATTATCTTGCTTATTGTACATCTACATCATTCTTAATATTGGAATTTATTAAATTTATCTAAATTTAAGGCATGTCATTAAATAATAAACATACCTTGATTATTGAGATTCTTCCTAATAGATCAGATAGATAGGGCCAACACTTCTCCCAAGCCATATTAGGCATAGATAACGACTCTTGTAGTAAGAGATGAACAAATGTGATGCGAAGCTCATGCCCCGTTGCCCAATGGCTTTGTTCTGAGTCCATCTATATAATCTTTATCGTCATTTAACATACTACGGGCACAACAAGCTTCTCTGAACGTCGAGTGTACGACTCCATCAATTGTCCTGAGTTCTTTAAAACTCCTATCCTCCTTCACGACACCAAGGAGCATCCTTAAATAATATTTCTCTCCGGCTCCAGGTCGCATGAAGTATAGTCTTCCGATTGTGGTGCTTCTTTGTCTTGGTACCCACTCTCTTGTTTTGGCTTTCCACGTGAACTTGGTAGGAAATTCAGCATAAGTCAAGCTCCTTGAGGATACACACTGTTTGCATGCATCTAAGCTAGAAACTTAGTAGTTGGATAGTAGGACGTCTAAGAACAGAACCGACAGACTCTTTAGGATTATAGTACACACTATGTTGCCCCGGGAGATGAAAGCTTAGACGTTCAACTGCGACGTCCCTATAATGAATGTGGAATCCAAAGATTCTCCAAGCGGGTTCACATGCAGATAGAAGAACTCCCGGGGCTATGGCATACTACGTACTCCGTTACTCCGTTACGGGGGGGGGGGGGGGGGGGGGGATTGCTCGTAGGGCTGGGGAAAAACTCCCGACTCCCGATCCCAATCCCGACAATCCCAGTCCCAAAAATCCCGATCCCGACTAGTCGGGAATTTTTCCCGATCCCGACTAAGTTGGGACGGGACCGGGATTTTTTTTTTTAAAAAAAAGTCGGGATCGGGAAAATCCCGACATCCCGACATTATATATATACACACACATGTATATAATTATATATGAATATATAACAAATGAATATACATTTATAAAAATGAATATGTATCTAAATATTTGCATATCTTTTTTAATTACTTATTCCTTACATAGATTTATCTTTTACTACGAGCATCTTACAATATCAAACTTCTAAAACTATTCGGCATTTATTCGAAAATAATGAATATTCGGGATCCTAACTAGATGGAGATTATTCTTGATCCCGACAATCTAAATCACAACAATATTACAAAGTTTGTGATTCTAATGAACTCTTTAAAAAGTCATGGTCAAGAATAAGATTTTTTTCTTTAGTTTCTCTATGAGTCTACTTAGTTTTGAATTTTAAATAATATACGTTACACATCTTTCTTTTAGTGATTTTTATATAATGTTTGAAATAAGTTTCACTAAGTCTTCATAGCTTAATAAAAAATTATACTATTAATTAATTGAAGTTACAAATAAAAATTATTCTAAAAGTATGTACTAGTGTGAATTTGAGATGATAATTATTACAATAAATTTTATAAGTAGATGATGATAAATATGATATAACAATGAACAAAGAATAATCTTGAAACTACTAAATATCAAAGTTAGTGTTTAACTAAAGAAATTACATAATTTTATGTTTGATACTTCATTGTCGAGATTTAGCGGGATTAAGCGGGATTCCCGATCGGGATCCCGACTTAATCAAGATTTTAATGTCGGGATCCCAACTTAATCGGGACAGAATACGGGATCCTCTTGTAGTTTGAATCGGGATCGGGACGGGATCGGGATTTGGGCAATCATTGCCTCGTTAGTAGAGAGTTCCACTATAAAAATAAATTTTTGTATAGGGTAAAGTTGGATTGACCTTTCATAACTTAACTATCATATCTCATATTACAGAGAATTACTTTTTAGGTAGTGCCCCTTCATAACTTCATTACAAGATTATTCATCTTCTTTATTCTTCACGAATTTGAAGACTACTCTACGTAGTATAACTACAAAATGAGTGGAGTCTCACAGTAACACTTGCGAAATGGGCATTAGTTCTATTCCCAAAACAAAGCATCGTTATCATCATTCCTTATCTAAAATGCTATTGTGCCCAAATATATGGAACAAAGATCAATGTATCAGAAAGTGAGCCATGACACATATTTCCATTGAAGTTGCCGAGAATCATTGTCCTTCAAGATAGGGAGAAATAAACTCCATTTGATATTCTAATTCTCACCAGAAGACATACTGTGCCCAAATTATAACACATCTGGGAGAAACCACACGGCATTTTCTGAGGGAATGTGTTCCTCACTATTCCCAGTATTCTCATCACAGTTTGTTCCACTTTAATCTCCACAAAGTTAATATTGCTTTTGGCTGCATGTGTTATACGTAGTACTTTGTATGAAACTGAGTAAAAAAATCAGAAAAACTACAACTTCTGCAAGCTAGGACAAGAAATCTAAACAAAAAATTGATACTTGGAGATGTTGTATAACAATAATTAAGTAAATGGTAAATCAAAAAATCAATTTACTATCTATACTTGGAAGAGAATGCAATCTGTGATTGCACTTAGTTAAGAGGGCTACAGCTTGATAGCTTTAAACCACGGGTGAAGCAAACCGTACTCGTCTCTTATTTCAAGAGGATTGTTAGTCTCATTCCGAATCCTCTTCACTCTCTTACTCGAGAGTGATTTGTGGATGAACCCATACATCTGCAAAATCTGGTTGCTCCCAAAGTTGAATGCACGCTCCATTTGCTTCAAGCAGCGCTCGAGCGAATAGTCCCCAAACTTCAAACAAGGCTTGCAACCCACAAAGTGTGTCACGAGTGGCCACCTATGATCGCCGAAACCCGGGTGATAAGTCTCCATCATTTCTTCATACTTATCCACCAAAATTCCCCAATAACCATGTAAGAAATAAGTACTCTCCAAATACACCTTAGGTTCCCACTTATCCCTTTGGGTTGCCAACAAATACACCATTGCAGACTGATCATCAGCTTCGAAAACTGGTCTGCCCTTAAGCTCCTTCGTCAGGAGTTCCCCTGCCTCCTCCCTAACCTTCCCTTTCGGCCCCATCGGGGCTAATTCGTCAAGCATGTCCAATGACCATTGGGTATTTCTTAGTAAAAAGCTGCCCGTGTTCAACCCGATCCAATTCCGGTCTCCATACACCATGTGATCCCAACCATGGATTATTAGGTTATAATTCCTATACCTCTCCCATGGTAGCTCAAATGCCATATCTGTAAACATTGCATCACTGTCCATCCACCAGAAGAACTCAACTTCAGGGTGTGACAGCATAAGCTTTCTAATCAAAGGTAGTTTGACCCAAAAACCAGACATTTCTGGATCAATTAGAGCCATGTTGTAGAAAATCTCAATCCTATGTAACCTACAGTAATCAATCTTGTTCTTAATCGCTTTTAGTAAGTAATGATCCCCAATCGGGTTCTCACAAGGTTTCGGGGATGATCCGGTGACTAACATAACCCTAGGTTTATTGCGATGGAGGAAATTGGGGAAATCTCGATTTCTCCTCAACCAAAGACCTCTCTGCCGATCCCAATTGGTAATCTTCGGTCCGAGACTGTACGGTTTGGTCGGATCCGTCTCCACTTCCGCCTCCCCGTCGACTTCATCAACCATAACCTTAGTAATATCGAAGCCGTTGTAATTGTTAGTCCCCGAGCCGTCGCCGGACGATGACTCTTCGAGAAACCGGCGCGGCTCGGACCGTTTACGGTAATAGTTGAGTGTATCGCGAATCTCCTTCAGGTCCTGCTCTGGAGTCCCGAATTTTCCGGCGCCGATGCTTCCACGAAGGACGACGACGGTGAGGATGAGGCAGAAGAGCGTCAGCTTACAGTGACGGAGATGTCGCCGGAAACGCCACACCTGCCGAGGACTCAAGAACCGCTTGAGCATTTTCCTCAGCCGCCGCCAAGGATCCGGAATCAGGAACCGGAATTGGCAATGGAAATGGCGATTCAGAAGTTTAAGAAATCGGCATTTTAGATGGAAGGTATTGAGAGATGGCAGAGAACGTAAAAGGATAGTGGACGTGCAGGAATATGCATGAATTAGGACATGGTCAAATGTTTTACTCCGTATTTTGTTTATAAAACAAAACGAATTTCACTCGAATCCTCCGGATATCATATTACCTTTTTGGTTTGCAGCTGCTTTTAAAAAAACACTTTTCAGCTTATGGCTTTAAAAAACACTTATTTTTTCAAACACTACAACTTTTATTTTTCTCGGTTTCCACGTCAATAGTGCTTTTATTTTTTTTATTACACAAAGCACTTATTTTACCAAACACTACCCATTTTTACTTTTAAAAATCACTTTTTTCTCAAACACTATCAACTTTTATTTAATCACTTCTCCCCATTTCATTAAAAAAACACTTTTTAAAAGCAGAAGCTGTTGCAAACAGACCCTTAGGCCCTACTTCGAAATTTTGACACTTTCTTATGATTTAGGCGTGTTAAAAGTTTCGCATGGTTGAGTTTCACATTTCGGAATTATAGTCCATAGTATAAACTGTAATGATTCTGATTCGAGGGACGACGCTTGTCAACTTGTTTTATCGTTTTACCTATTAACTAAATGATGTACCTCTTTCCATTGTAAGTAAATTAGCAAACAATTTACTTGATTATTGTCGCTAAGAGTTGTTTTGTCGTTTTATTAAGTATCATTTGTTAAGTATGAATACTATTTGTCCCATGTTAGAGTTAAAAAACATACCAATCTTTCTAATATGTGAAATAAACCTAATAGGTTTGATGATTTTATCTTTTAGGTGAAATAAACCCAATAAAATTTCATCTATAAAAGACGGGTTTTGTAGTAATGCTTTCAAATAAAATTTTAATATGATTACCTTTTAGGATAATTTATTAAAGAGAGGGAAGAAATGTTTAAATCGTCCAATCCCCCCCACCCATTACAATTTTTACCATTTAGCTTTAAAATTAAACAAAAGCAACCACTTAAAGACAATACTTCTAACTTTTGTAAGCATACCTTAGCTTTCAAAAAAAACTTTTGTAAGCATAAAGTACAAAATTGTTTTAAAAACTTTTGCAAGCATTGCAAAAACCATTTTTTTTGTTAGGAACATATCAATAATTTTTTGCTTGTTTTGACTAACATTTGATCTTTTGACCAGATGAATCAACCAATATTGATGTTTGTTTACATAGTTTTTTTATTTGTTTTTTTACCTAAACAACCAAAATTTAAAACACCACTGAGTCTAGCATTCAGGCATTGACGTTCTAATTTCTTTCCAAATTTCCCTAATCTACTCACGACTCGTCTTCTTTTGGCCAGATGAATCAACGGTTTTTTATTACATTGTTTTTTATTTGGCTTTTTACCTAAACAATCAAAATTAAAAACACCACTAAAACTAGTATTGTCATTTCAATTTCTCTCCCAATTTTCCTAATCTACCCACGACTCCTCTTCTTATAACTCTACACCCCCATTCTCTTTCAATCTTCACTGAACTCGCATCCATTTTCATACTCCCAACGAATCATCCTTCTCGACAAACAACTGCATGCTTTTGCTCAATCTATGTACTCCCTTTTCTAAGCAATTCCGTTTTTTAGTTTACCTCTTTAGATTTTAGACTGAGTAATTATGTAGTTGTTTCGTATGAACAAAAATAATATACAAACATAAAATTGAAAGACCAGCATAAAAAAGCTATTCAGACTGGTTTCTCATTTTCAATTTATTAATGAAAAC